ATAGCAGGGAAGAACAAACAAAACAAGTTCATTTTTTTCTTTGGTATCAGCATTTGTGATTGGCTTCTTTTATGTTTTATTTTTGATTTTTTTATGCGATTTCTGGGTCGAATGTTATGCGTGGAGCCCCTGCGCAGAGAACGACTTTTGGATTTTGCTTTCTTAGCGCTCACATCCGGCCAACATGTAGAGAGAACCAGAAAGTGATCTAATTTGCAACGGATTGTAACAACAAGATACGATGCAAAATATATTTGAACTGTTAGGATAAAACTGTTCTATTTAGAAAAGACATAAGGTCAATCCAAAGTATATACTGGGAACCACCCACCTGCATACGAATTGACAAAGTACGTAAAAATAGAAAGGGGTGTAAGACAAGGATGGGTTTTCCCGTCAGATTTATTTAACCGATACAATTATGCAATCCTAATAGGACTACAAATCGTACCATGTTTTTAAAGTTTAATTCATCCAAATTGAATCAAATATTATTTAATTTTAGTTTAAAATATCACAGAAAAGTATTTCTAACATGGAGGGCAACAGAACGACTCAGCACCGCCAACTCATTACCACCAACTCAACGCCGCCGACTCAACACCAACCAACTCATTTGCGTGACAAATCAATTCCAGTACAACTCACCACCAGCCTACTCAGCGCAAATCAATGGCATGCAATCTTTTTTTTAATACATGGCTTTATTTATAATTTTAAAAAATACTGAAAATTGTTTGCAATTCCTCTCGAATATTAATTGGAGATCTTTGTAAAAAAAATAGAACAATCAGTAAAATTATTGCATCTATCTTCACAGACTTCTTCAAATTAGTCCAATTAATTGCTCGAAAGATGCATCTCGGTTTCTTTATACCTTTTGCAGCCCCGTAATGAATAATATGGGGTGCTCCATCCTCAGCTCTTTGTGCAGTCTTCTATTTACTACAGAATGGTTATTTGTCCGATCTTGAAAATTAAACCCCAGTCAACCAAATAAACTGTTGTAACATAAATCTACACTTTAAAAATATCTAAGACTCCAAGTGCAGACAGGGACAGCCAACGCCGGTATGAAGCTATGAATTTTAGCGCCAGCTTTGAGTTGTCCTCGCGCTAAGTATGTTGGACGCGTGTTGTCTTGTTGAGTTGTCTTGTTGTGCTGAACGGTGTTGAGTCGGCGGTGATGAAATGTCCTATTGTGACATTATGATGGGTGTTTGTATGAAGTGTTGACAGATTTATCGACAGCCTAATATTTGGTAATTTAAGTAAAGAGAAAATTACAAGACAAATACTACGTAAACTCCTCCTTTATTCCACCACGATTATGTACGAACACCGGAAGTTAAAGCGGAAGACGAAGGAGGGAAAAGAAGAGGGAAAAACTATTTTCATCAAGGTTCGTACATACACAATAAATATTTACTAAGGTGTCTACATTTGGATAACAGCTCCTATCTTTCATTTAGTAATTCGTCCTTGTTTGGTTATGTGCCGATCGTCAATTTTACTTCTTGGCATATTTTACAGTAGCTTCGTCGGACTCTGCCTGGCTTCTATGGTGTAAGGGTGGGAGCGGGATGCCAGCCTCGTAGGGCGCTTGAATTCATGGAGTCTGGGAACCAGAGAGAGCAGCTCATCAGAGCAGTTACCATGGAAGTATTTGTAGAAAAGACAGAGAGAGGCGACGGCGCGTCTGTGAGAGAGTGACTGCAGACAAGACGCTAGATCAGGACCAATTAGATTACATATCCGTCTCTGGATCTTGTCAAGAACTCCGAGGTAAGCAGAAGGTGCTCCAGACCATATATGGCAGTAATACTCCATGCAAGGGCGAATGATTGCTTTGTATATTTGAAGTATCGATTCAGGGGAGAAAAATTTCCTGGCGCGGCACAGAGAGCCAACTTTCCTCGCGGTGGAAGAAGCTATATATATATATATATAAATTAAGTATTCAAATATTTTGTTGAATTTTTGGTACTTTGGCTTTATAGTCTTACTTACGAAGATGCTTGTTGAGGAAATATTAGAAATTTACCAATATATTTTTAAATTGACTATGGTTACCGTTCTTATTTCCGGATAATTTTATATATGAACGTCCGTATTTACAAAAATCGGGTCAAGTCTTTACCGGCTGTTCGGTTGAACTCTCTGCCTTCGGGCGGGGAGGAACCCGAACGAGGCTACGCCGAAGGGCGGAGTCTCTTTCGGGGAGGTAAACCGACCCTGAACCCGTTTATACGGATTCAATGGGCATATTTTTGGCCGAGCCCACGGGCTCGGAGATCCCACGTTAAACCGGCCTTGTGCCACATGATGCCCACGTGTGTGTGGGGGGGGGTGACTAAATATAATCATTCATACACACACACACACAAAAATAATAAAAATTATTTTTTAAATGCTGAGGGTGGATGAATCCTTGTCAGCTTTTCAATTTATGATTAGTTAATATAGTTTTTATTTAATAACAAAATTAATTGACCGCTACAAATTAAGACAGAATTTTAAGATTTAACACTTTATAAATTATTCTAATTGAATTTTTAAAAAATTAAAAGAATCTTACAAAAATTCATAATTCATCGACAAAACATTTTTCGTAAGACAATAGAGTCTGTATTATATTTCATAAAATCAATTAAATTTTTTTCTAATTTAATGCTGTCTTGGTTTTATTGCATATTTTTATTTTACGATTCAGAAGAGATTTTCTTTAACTGGGGTTTCCTGTCTGACCAAAAATATTGGTAATTTAAATTCTTAGAAAATTTGTCCTTATGACTAATATAATCATTAAGCGCTTACCAGAAAAAAATGAATTTCTTGAAAGATTAGGTAAATGGGGGTGGGTATAACAGATGTAAAAAAAAAAAAAAAGCAAGATTTTCATGGAAAGCAAAAATTTCAAAGATGAGTTAATTCATTTCTCAGTAAGTCCTGAAAGTTTCCGAAAATCTGCCCTGAATTGTAAAAATACATTAAAACTATGACATTTTTTAATTATAAAAGTTTTTAATTGTTTTTTTTTTTTATGAATAAAATACATTATGAACACTTGTCTTAAGAAACAAATAGTTATTTTATGAATAATGAATTTTTACAAGATTTGTTTTAAATTTTTTTATCTAATTAAAATTATTTACAGTGTAACCCGGATATAAGAGAGTTGTCGGTACCGGAGAAGAAGTCTCTTATATCCGGGTTTGGTCTATTTTGTTTAGGTAAATATGGGCTCTAATTTGGGACCAGAGAAAATCTCTCTTATATCCGGGTTTCTCTTATATCCGGGTTACGCTGTATTTGTTTTTATTTTTTTGAAATTCTGCATTAATTCGTAGCGGTCAAAGGATTTGCTAATAATAAATTAGAAGGCTCACTGCAATTTAGCGAACACCAGTACTTTTAAAAGTGTTTTGATTTATTTTTTTCAATTTTTTTGTCTGTGTGTGTGTGCGTGTCTCTCTCTCTCTCTCTCCCTCTCTCTCTCTCCCTCTCTCTCTCTCTCTCCCTCTCTCTCTCTCTCTCCCTCTGTGTGTGTGTGTGTGTGTGTGTGTGTGTGTGTAAGCTTCTTCGATTATTGTAGAGACGTCCGTACACAAAAAGCAAGACAGAAAATAAGAGCGGTATCTATAATAAATTTAAAAATTATTGGTAATTTTCTAACATTTTCTCAACAAAATTCTTCGTAGGTAAAACCTCAAAGTAACTAAAATTCAACAAAAGATTAGATTCCATAAAATATTTTCTTAAATTTCTTCGACAACGTGGTAGTTAAAAAATTTATATAAAAAGTTGTTCACATTGTATTCGTCAAATAATTTATTTCAGTTCTGTACCCTTAGTTAAATTTCCAAAAGCACAAGCTGTTAATAAATCACTCAACATGTCATGAAAACACCCCCACCATACTAACAAAATATGCTTTTCTGTGCAATTTTAAGCTATAAATAAGTAATATTTGCTTCAATTCAGTTAAATTCAATTAAACTTTATATCACGGAATTTTCCTGAGGTAATCTTTCACGTAAGTATATTTTATTTTTAGAATTTTTTTAAACGATGAATATTATGTTGTGATGACAACACCGTAAATATGGACGATTTTACAGATAAACCTAAAAAAAATATTCCTATCAGTTTGAATTCGGTTTGAAAAACACCACAGTATTTTGCTTGTTGGTAATATTAAATTTAATCTATTAGCTTGGAATAAAAACTAAAGAAAGATTTTTTCATTTTTTAAAATATATTTTAAACTTATGTGAAGGCGTTGCCGCGTTTATTTTTAACAGGCCTTCTTGTCATTTCCTATCTTAGATTTAAACACAAAATAAAAAATTGCAACAATGAGATTTAAGAATAACACTGACTCTGTGTTGATTTCATTCAATCGGATTCTCTAAATAGTTTTCAATTCTTCATTTCGAGGCGTGTTCGTCAATTGGGGTGGAATAAATAAATGCTTTTAGGTAACATGACCCATTATTAGACACAGCAGCTTCATTTGCCTTAAATCCCATTAATAGCTGATAGCTTTTGGCATTTATTTACGGATGGAATACACATCTGCAAAACCAAATGCAAATCTTTAAAAAAAAGAAAAAGAAAAATCATTCAATTTTTATTTTCTCAAAATTACTGAAATCTTGAATCATGAAGTTGGTTGAGTCTTGATTTTGAGCTGGTGTTTTTCTACTTTTTATTCATCTAAGAATTTTAGATGTTGGATCAATTCTCCCAATTTTATTTGCTCTACATTTGAATGAATTCTGCTGATTTATCCTAAATGGTAATTTGAGACCATTCAAATAGGAAATCACCAGTCTTCATCTGTGGTTCAATTTGAGCTCCACAACAAATGAAGGTGGCAATATATTACAAATATTTTCAGGCTGATGTCAATCCGGCTAACTATCAAGCAATTTCGAAATGAACCCCTTGACAGAATGATCTGATTCTGCTATTTAGGGATATCTTATCTTGTTCACGTTAAAATACCGTTTCTCGTAAGATCACCGAAGATAAGCAACGTCGATCCTGGTCAGTACTTTGATGGGTGACCGCTGAGGAATACAAAATGCTGTATGCTTGGATGTGTATGCGGTGTAATTGATAATGGTACCGAATTGTGAATTTTTTTTAAAAATATATATTATATTTTATTTTCCAATATGAAATATATGGAAAATCAAATGTAATATATATATATATATATATATATATATATATATATATATATATATATATATATGAAGAAATATAGGCTTAAGATGTGCTATATTTATGGAATAAAGTGCTCAATATCAGAGATAGAGCGTGTGTGAATATAAAAGTGAATATAGAAGTTAAAACTTAGAGGCGACAGTCTGTTTCATGCTAGACGCAATCATCAGGCCACCTGATATATAAGTGGACAGTGAGGTTAATGCAAAGCGGCGACAGTCTGTTTCATGTTGGAACGCTATCTTTAGGCCATGTGTGTTGAGTTTTTTCTCGATTATTTATAAATATTGGTTAATGGGGTATTATGGGTATTAACATCTGTTGCATTATCCTAACGACTACAGGGTACAGCATAGACTATAGACTACATCCGGCAGCAAGACCTCTGATTGGAAGATTTTGAGAAACGTTTAACCCCCTCTCAGATGCTGTTGTTCCAAGGTTCACCCTGAATCGTGGTGATAGAATTTGTTAAGGTCCTAGTTATGGGTACATAGTGGACCCAGCACCCCACCAAAAAAAAAAAAAAAAAAAAAAAAAAACAAGAAAAAAACACTACGAAAGTATAAAAAATATATTTTTAATAAGAATATTAGAATACATTTTATAGCAAAATGGCCAATAACACATTTTCTGTAGTTAAGGGCATACAATTGCGTTCAATATATATATACAGGGTGCGATGGATAAATTGTCATCTAAATTATGCTAAAATGAAAATAACACTGACATCTCATTTTTAGAAATATATTTACCAATATCAAACAAAAATATCTTGAAATACTAAAGAGTAAATTTATTCAATAAAATCACCATTGGCTTCAATCAGGGCCTCCAGATGACTTCTGAATCTCCTGCAATTCTTCTGGAAGGTCTCCTTGTTTAAGTTGGTGAGTGCTGCCATAATCCTTGCCATTAGTTCATCTTTGGTGTTACAAGGCGTTTTGTTGGTCTCTCGCTTAACTGCACCCCACCCATAATAATCAAGGTGGTTGCAGTCTGTTGAGTCAGGTGGTCAGATGTAAGGGGTGATGTTGTCGCAGCCATTACTGTGCTCTCCTGCTTGTGTGGCATGGTGCAGTGTCCTCTTGCCAGACATAGTGTCTTCCAGTAGCCACCATCTTGACCCAGGGCGAGACTACCTAAAGACACTTGATGTAGGTCTCCGTATTGAGTTTGATGCCCTGTGAGAAGTTGAATGGAAGCATAACGTTGTCATCACTGCTGATTACTTCAAAAACTTTAGTAATCACCATTCAACCAGCTCTTTACGAATCCTCTGCACAGTCCTCAGAATGACATCCAAACACTCTGAAATATTCGTATTGGAGCTTCCGGTGCAAATGCCAAGCAGTACTGCATGCCGTTTCCAAATTTCTGGCGGAGTGTATTGCTTCATGGTGCTCTTTTTCTCACAGATGTTGCCAAACTGACCATATTATACTGCGCAGTATATATATATATATATATATATATATATATATATATATTTATATATATATATATATACAGTGGCGTAGGTAGAGTAAACGTCACCCGGGGGCGGTCCGCTCAAATGTCACCCCAATGACCCCTGATTCACCCTATGCTGAATGGTTAGCTGTAGCTAAATTTTCATAAATGCTCTACCTCTACTTTTACTCTACTGACCGGTACGTTACTGTTTACATGTATAATCCAAGACAAAATCAAATACCACAAAAATAATCAGTTCAAATCAAAAGCTGAAAACATTGCTATTTTTCCTACTCACAAATTTCCCGACAATTTATTAGAAAATTTCTGACAGGGGGACAAAGCTGGGGCTCATAAATTATTTCGGGGGGGGGGGTCATATGCCCGCCTGCGAAACCCTGTGTCTCCAATACTGTTTTCAGACTATTTTTGGCACCTTAGCCTGGTTGAAAAATTTTGTTGGGGTGACATTGTGTCACCCCTCCTGTGCTGGCACCCGTGGCGATCCGCCCCCCTCGCCCCCTTAACTACGCCACTGTGTATATATATATATATATATATTGGGTGTATTTGGGAAGCAATGTTTTGTTCATGTAAATTTGGTTAAAGAGCAAAGAAAGTTTTTGTTAAAGATTTCTCATAAATATTTTATATATTTCGGACTATTTTCCTAGTTTATGGTAAAAATTTAAATATAAATTGTCCAGTGTCTTTGTTTCTTGGGCTTTCGTAAACCATTATTAAAGATTTACTGAATGTTATGTTAAATTCTGAAGTTAACAGTTTTATTGTTCAATAAATTAATCAGACTGTTATACTCACCATTATTGTTTTCGATCACTGCATTCTGACACGTACACTCTCCCGCCTTCTTCATATTGTCTGAAATTCGTGACTGAACGTTTGTTATTAGTTATACGGACATACGTATTTGAACAAAGTTTTGTGAATCTTGAACGACACATACTCACAGCATTGGGTCATCCATGTTAGACATTTTATGACGGTCGTCTTCGAGTATAGAATCCAGAGGTTAGCAGTGAATATTTCGGAGACAGTAGGAAAGCGTAGTTCAGGTTGGCAGTGGATATCGCAGCAAAGTAGCAGAGCGTAGTTCTTCCTTCTGTCATCTTCGCCTGACAAGTTGGCACTGGTCATTCGGGTAAAGTAAACAAAAATGGCCGCCTTTATACACGGCGGATAGAATGTTCTGCGTGTTCTGATTGGTGAACCTTCTATTGGTAGACTATAAAGCGAGTCAAGACATTTGGACCAACTCACTAGTCATATATATATATATATATATATATATATATATATATATATACAAAAAACTGTAACAATCCGGAACCCCCTAAATAAGCGTTTCTCTCACATTTGTATTAACGGAACTCTACCTCTTCGTTTCCCTTATCATCTGAGTTATTTTTCGCATTGGGTCAAAGTTCATTCTATGTCTGATATTAGTGTAAATAACACTAAATCCATTCATGTCCAGCTGGGTTTCACTTTTTTTTTGTTTTTTTTTTTATAATCTTTTCACCCTTAGCAAGGCATTATAGCCACTGTAGTGACATTAAAGATACTAGCAGTATAAAACTATCAGTAGCAGCCATAAATAAACCTTGTCTCAGAAACAGCTCCAATATGAACAAAAACAAACACGCGAATCCTAAAGTAACTCCCTTTTCGGGTTTTCCCTCTTTCGAATTGCTAACATGAAGTTTTCAAGCTGAAGCTACAAAGGGCTGCGAAACGCTTCACCCATAAAACACACCAACAAAGTAAGTTTCCACTATAATATATCAATGAACATTTCGTTGTGTATACAATTTACGTCTAACAAAAAACTCTTGTTTTAAACTTTACTTTTGTTGATTTTGTTTTAATAAATGTTATCTTTGCGTTGCAAATTAATTGGTCTGTTATTTTGTGCATATACTCTTTTCACCGCCATTATTTCATGTAATATAAAATTCCTCTGTATGAAACATTACACATCTAATTATTGAAGTTGCTAATCACTAAATCACTAAGACCCAACGAGTTACTATGTGTAAAAAGAATAAAAAAAGAAACATTATTATGGCGCGAGGATAATAAAAGAAGAGGAATCACGAAGACGCTGGATAACGATCGACATTGCATTTAATTATTTGAAGATCAAAGTTGGCTGGAAAGCATGGAGCCGCGAGAGAATTCCACTAGCGAGAAGTACGAGAAAAGAAACTCTTAGCATAGAACTTGCGGTTGTATCTAACCGATTGAACTGTAAATTGATGAGACTTTGTTGCCATTCTAGTACTGCGCATACATTCATAAAGTCCAAGTAACATAGTGGAAAGTTCATCAGAACAATTACCATGAAAGTATTTATAGAAAAGGCAGAGGGAAGCAACATTACGGCAGTAGAAAAGGGACTGAAACTGGAATGCCAGGTCGGGATGAATATCAATGTGCATTTGGATTTAATCAAGAATCTCTCTATATATAGCAGCACACGGCCATATGTAGCAGCAATATTCAAAGCATGGATGAATGGTAGACTTATAAATGTGAAAGATAGATTCTGGAGAGAACAAAATTTCTCTCACAACACAGTGAAGGAACACTCTTAGTAGCAATATAATCTTTCCACTTCATATCAGCAGAGGATGTTACTCCGAAGAGGTGCAATGAATTACTATCCTGGATGTTAGTATCTGCCATACTGTCAGAAAGCGAGGTCTCTCAGGCTGTTAACAGAGAGAAATTTCGTTTTGGAGGCCTCAAAATTAAGAAGCCATACCTTGTCCCAGTTAACAGCAAATTGGAAGTCATTTTTTAGATCCGCTGCCAATTTGACTTTATCGAAACGATCAGACTTACTATTGAGACAAGACTAAATAGTTGCGTTATTAGCATAGATACCAGCAGCTTCTTGGCTTAGGGGGAAAATCGACTTTTGCCGATCCCGACTTGAAGCAATCGAACTTCTAGCCACACTGATGAGCTGTGTTACAGCGAAACATTCTGTCTGTAGATGACGATATATACTTTGGGCACCTCGAGGCGGTGTTATGGTTAGCAAGCTTGTTTCGCTAGAACAATTACGACAGTAGTGAGTTCGATCCTCACTGGGTACCCCCTACTTTCGGCCTTGTGCCACATCTAAGCTACGATTGGGAAATCAATATCAGCATTGACACCACGTTGGCATTTTTGCTGTTGTCACCGCGGACAGAGACCAGCAATTGGAATCTGATCTGGCCAAAGTTTAACCTTTGGCCCGCAATAAATGGTGTGTCAAAGGTACAGCTTTTCCCTTGACACCGCTATTATTTTGTACTCCCTTCACTCCCTAAGCTATGTATATTCTTTTAAAAAGCGATAATTAAAATTTTAGTAAAAGCCAAACATATGAAAGTAA